ACTCGAGCGCCGCGGAGCAGCCGCGGCCACCGCGGGAAAGGCCCCGCCACCCCGTTACCTGCGCGCTCCTCCCCCGCTGCCGGCGCGCGGGGAGCCCTGCGCCACCGCCTCCACAACAAAGCCCAAGAGCGGGCGGGCCCTGCTGCCGCGGCGCGAGGGGGGGCGGTAGGCTCTGCTCATGGGTGGCGCGGACGGTAGGCGTGGCGCGTGGGGTAGCGCCGCCCGGCGGGCGGGAGAGGCTGCGAGAGGCGAACCGCGGCGGTGAGGGCGGCACCGGGTAACGGGGAGTGCGGGAGCTCGCGGCTGGTTCGCGGCCGCCCTTCCTCCGCACGGGGAGAAGGCGTTTCCTTTTCGGGGGCTGGCACGGAACGGCATTCCCCCCGCGGGGATACAGTAATCTCGAAGGGAGACACAAATCCTGCCGGGGCGGTTAAGGAGGCATATGTCGTGGCGCACATGCAGTGGTTTGGGAAGAGGCCATGTGGAAATGGTACTAAGCCTAGAAGTGCTTTAGGAAACCTGCACACCGGGAAGAGTGACCTTCGCGGGGAGCAGAGAGAGGGTAAGGGAAGCATGCCACATAAAAAGAGAGACTTCCAGCAGGAGAATTACTTGTGTTGAGGTGAATAGATTCAGGGTTTCAATATTGTGAGACAACAGTCTCCTAACAATAGCAGAGTTTACTTTTTTAAGGACCAGGTGTTCTGCTATTGTGTTAACACAAATCTATGTAAATTCTATGTGCTCTGAACAATTTTTTCTTTTTTCTTTTTTTTTTTTTTTTACATCCCTTTTGTTGCAAAGACACCTTCTCCAGGAAACAGATCTGACCAACCAGTTTCTGCACCTTCTGATCAATTCCAAATTCTCTTTACTGTTGAACTACTGCAGCAAGCACACTTCAACACTAGATGCATGGAGAGACCTGCATCTCGGGAACAAAAAAGCAGTGATGTTCCAGCATCTGCTTTCTGATGATACAGAACACTGGAGACTTGATGATCCTGCTGTATTTATTGAGCAGCAGTCTAAAAGAGGCAAACCAGGGGAGCTAAGGCAAATGTTAATGAAACACTGAAGTTGAGATTTTAATTAATTAAAGGTCAGCACATTTAAAATTTATTCATTTAAGGGAGTTACCCTGTATTCCCACAGCAATCCCCACTCTGTTCTTGCACAGATCAAAGAATTCAAGTTACTGTTTATTTGCTGATGCATGCAAATTACATAACTGAATGTTATACCTTTTTGCAACTGGATCTTGGTCTTTTAACACTTTATCAACACTTCCCTGTATATTTCCTATGTTCTCATACATTTCTGCTGAAGCAGAAATAAAGGTGGTTTTCTCTAATCTTTGTTCTAAGTTACTAAAAGCTACATTTCCTTTCAAGATTGGAACCTTTATTCAGTTAGCAACATCTGTTGCTAAACTGTCACAAAATACTTGCAGACACTCCGTAAACCAACATACCGGAACAGTATTACAACTTAGAATCATAGAATAGTTAGGGTTGGAAAGGACCTTAAGATCATCAAGTTCCAACCCCCCCTGCCATGGGCAGGGACACCAAACTTCATGAAAATAATTTCCCAAAGATACTTTTACAAAGTTTTGGCTTCCAAATACTACTGTGCCTGCAATCTGCTCTCAAAACAAGAAAACATGTTTTGGAAAGGTCTGAGAAGTGATTCCCAGGCAAGTCTGTGAGGGGGATGAAAACACTGCAGTTTTAGAACCTTGCACAGAAACCCCACTTGTAGGATCCTGTTGAAGGATCTTTCCTGCTCAAAATGTTCCTCATGTGAAAAGCACTGGGATTTTGCTGGTAGAAAAAATAAGTTCTTTCCTAGTGAATAAGGAGGATGGTTAAATGAGTTGAATCTTCTTGTTTCTGATAGGTTTTCACGATTTTGCTTAATGTATTTCCAGATTCTTTCCCTCAGTTGAACAATAACCTTTGTATTTCCATATAGCCAATCCAGGGAGCTGTGATCTGAGAACTCTGTCTTTGACAATACTATCAAACAAACTGCACTGCTTTCTGCCTCTATTAAATAAATAATGGCATTTTAATCCCAATCTAAAATATATTTCCCCTTTTATTTACATATATTTTCTCATTTACTAATTAATCTCTTTGGTTATGCAAACTCCATCCACCAGAATGCTGGAACACTTATTTTTTTCCTGTCTATCAACTTTAGGCATGTCCATTTTCACTTTTATACTAAATATGTGCCTTTCTTCCCAGTGGACTTCTTCCTCAACTCTTTTCCTTGAGGAAAACATAGTATTATTAAAAACAAAATGCATATTTCTCTTGTACTTTGAAGGTATTTTTTCACAACTGGAGAGCAAGGAAAACCAGCACATACTCTCTTTGACTCTGCTATGCTACATATATTCCTGGACACAGACTCATGAAATCCTGATTATAGCAAAATGCCTCTGGTATGCCTAGGATTCACCATGCCTAAGATTTTATCTTAAAGTCACTACCACAAAGGTTTTAAATGAGCATCTATTTTACTAAACTAAAATGTATCCAGACAGCAGACTGCAGTTAAATACCTATCTCAGACATGGAAAACGGCGCATAAATCCACTGTTCAGACATATGAAACGTCTAACAATATGCTTCTTAAGGAATAGAGAAAGAACTAGGTACCAATATTTGCCTTTGGTAGCTGTGCTGCAGGATGCATAAATGCACCTAGTTACAATTTATGCTTTGTATTTAGCATAAACTGATGCCCTTGTAAGGTAACAAGTGTCTATCTCTTCTTTTAGCAGAAAGAAGTTGAAAAATAAGGATGTAAAAACTACTTTTCTTTTCCTGCTCATTTGAAGAGGTGCCAGTAAATCTAGCTCCCTATTTTCACTTCAAGATGCTCAAGATCACACACGGAATTCAGAATTGCTTTGAAGATACTGTGAAGGATTTCTGATTCAAAACGAATATCCTTGTCTGTGTGAACACTGTAGAGCTATTGACAAGAAAGAAAAAAAATTAATCCCAAATTATCCATGTGACAGGTTAAACAGACAGCGTAGCATCTTATTCAAGAGGCGTTTCCTTAAATCCATCTTCTTAACTCTAATAAACATTCCCTTGAAATCAACCATAGCTTTGTTTTTTCCCCCAAACAATGTAATTGAGCTTGTACCCCTGATGGCTAGCAAAGAAGCAAAGGTTGAGCTCAGAGTGGACAAGCCTTCCTTTGAGGCAAGAAAAGTCAGCAGTGCCAGAGGCTGTGGGCTACATGCAAAAGGGGGAAACAGAGCAGAATACAAGAAACCACAGTGCTATTCAAAGTTAGGGGCAAGAGAAGAAGTGGAGATAAGGAAAAAGTCTTGACAGCAAACCCAAGAGTTTGACTAGTACAACAAGGTGAGTGATAGAGCAGGGAAAATAAAAGACCACATACAATGCTGCATCTGTTTCCAACTTTTGCAGGTTCCAAATCCACATAAACATTTAGGTATTCAGTTGTTGATTAAGTGCTTAAGCTGTACTTTATTAACCTGAGTGCCATTTTGAATCTGGCTGTAAGTCAGAAAGACCGTCTGTACTAGTAAACACAAAGGATCTGTGCCCATTCTCTGGCTCTGACAATAAATGTCCTTGTGTGTTCTGCATTCATATGGCTTGAACTGTCTTCACCTCCAATGTTGCTGCCTCTGGGGATGTGCACATGCTGTCCCCAGCTAAACCCTGGCATCTTGTGGAAAAGTACGGTGTGGCCTTGGTGGAAGCAATGCTGGAGACTGTCAGCAATGACACTGACTGTGCCAGCACTCAAGCCCATTCCCTGGCGCTGCTGTTTCGTTTACTAAAATGGGTCAACAGATCTGCGTAACACATGCAACAGCCACTCTCCAAAGGACAAAATAACCTATGCCCTTTGAACACCAAAGAGTTGGAACCAGAGCCTGAAGGTTTTAAAAGAACAGAAAGAGAGCCGCTGAGTCAAGTGGTACCACCGACCCTTCCCAGAAAAGGAGCACCAGGGGAGCTGAAGGTGTTAGCTGGGTCCCAGCAGCAGTGGGGAGTAGGACTTCAAGTGTGCTCTGTATGGCACCAACCCCAAAGCGAGAAGTACACGGCACAAACCTGAGGTGACAGGCCTTCCCCCATCAGCTCACCGAGGGGCCGCCAGAGCCTGCCTCCCTCCCCAGCTCTGCCCGAGAGAGGCAAGCTACCGGTTTCCCGGCTAGAAGGGATCCCAGAGCCCTATCCCCACCGTCATCGCCAGCAAGCTGCGAGCCCGGGGCCGCCCTGTGACCGCCGGCAGCTAAAGGCCGCTGCGCGACCGCACGTGGGGGCCCGGCCCGCTTTCCCGCCCCGCCCGGCATTGCCGAGGCCCCCCCTTCCCCCGCAGATAACCGCGGCTCCCGCCTCCCCCCCTGCTCTTCTCCCACCCGCCCAGCACGGAGCCGGCCCCAGCTCCGCAGCCGCTCTCCAGGCGCTGGTTGCTTCTCGCTGCGGCATCAGCGAGCGAGCGGGGATGGCTCGGAAACCCGGGAGCTTTCTGCAGGAGGCCTCTCACCAAGTCGTCGCCGGAGGCTCGGCGGGTAAGTGGTGCGTTCCTCCTGGACGGGGAGGGTCTGCCCGTCCCCCGCCGGCGCTCCGCCAAGCTGAGGTGAAGACGACCCCGCCGCCGCCCGCCCCCCCACGCTCTCCTCAGGCGCAGCAGCTGTGGCGTGGAACGGCCTGGTTCAGTGGCAGCTCCTCCCCCAGCGAGAGGCGCAGGCGGGCGGACCCCTGATGTGGCCCGGGGGTCCTGGGGGCGGGTGCGACGCGGCTGTAGCTGGTGTGATGGTGCTCGGCCCCCCGCGGGCGTGAGGGAGCCCTTCCCGGGCCTGCGGTGTATCTCCGTTAAACACATCGTACAGCCCCGCGGATGATAAGGGGGGCCCCCTCCAACGGTAACAGCCAGTGGTGTCCCCTTCGGTGGGTGCCAGTTTCCTTACTCGGAGCGGGCTCGTAGCTGCCGCAGCCGCCCCTGGCGCCTTCCCCGTTTCGGACGCGTCCCTTCTAGACTCCTCGCTGGTGTGTCGTGGAGGAGCCCACGCAGGGCTACAGTGGAAATGCGTTTCTGTGTTTTAAAACTTTAAAGAATGTCGAGGTTACTGATTCATCACGTTATTTGTACTTCGAACTATAGGTGTCAAAACGGTATGCATCTGTTTAGCAATGAAAGTATTACTAGTTAATTTTTTGTTTGTTTCTTCTATCTGAAACATTTAAGTTAGCTTGCGGTGTAGGCAACATTTACAAAATATCCTGCTCTTCCAGTGTATATATGTAAATCCTGTGAGCATTTCAACTATGCAATGTGTTCTTAAGTGTTCTTTAGTATCTTTTGGGGTCCAAATGCTGTTTGCCGTGTTTTACATGAGAGGAAAGCTGCACAGTGATGTTGGTGTGTCTTATGTAATGCTTCAGTGTAATGCGTGCAAGCAAAATTCTCCTGTGTCCTGCATGGCTGTGATGCTGCGTGTGAGCTGGTGTTCTGTTCCCTCTAATTCCCCTGCTGCTAATTCCACTTTTATGCATTCCTGCCCACAACATATATTTGAGCGCTTCCCTTTCATGCTCATGACTGCATGTCCTTTGTTTTCAGCATTCTGTTTTGATACAGAGAGATTTCACAGCAGAAGCAGAGATGTGTTGTCCTGTCCCTTCCAGTGTATTATATGACTCTGTTTAGTTCCTGCAGCTGTGGAAATTCTAAAGCTTTTTTAGATTCTGCTTGGTACCAGCCCCTCCTTCCCTTAGGAGAGAAAGGGAGGCTTTAATCTGTACTAGCCCATTGAAGGCCTTTCATACATGAAGGGATAATGAGTTGTTTTGCTGCCAGATGTTTTGCAAGATGACATATTTGTCTGCCCATAGCAGTGGGCCTGTGCCTTGATGATTCAGATTGATCTGACTTAGTATCTTTCCATTCTCTGGCAGTAGACTGTTTACAGGCTTTGTTCTTAGAAGGACAGACAGTTTGGATAACACACTAGAAAGAAAACTGTCATTTAGATAAAGGGCAAAGTTTTACAGAAGGGTTAGAATTGAGAAAAGTGTGTTTGGTGGTGTAGGGAAAAGACAGCATGAAAACTATTTGATGATCTGATAGGCATAGATGTTAAGGTGAAAGAATTTTCAGTTTAAGAAGACAACTGGTCTGCACCTAACACTTTTTTTAAGGTATAATGTGAGATGCCTGTTGATTCTAGTGCAGAGGCATACTGTTAGAAGATGCTTGCATCCTTTTGCTTAGTCTTGTTTCAGGCAGGTTCCTCAGCTCCATCACTAACCAACCTTAAATCTGTACTGAAATTCCTACTTATTGGTTTTGAAATAAACCAGGGAGAATTGTTCTTTAAGTCTGAACAACACTAACACTGTACTCGATGGATTAGTGAATGTGTGAGTTAAAGTGGGATTAGAGGGAAATGGCTCAAGCTTGAAAACTTGCTTCTCAGATGCTTAAACCTCAATGGTGGCTTTCTTGGTGGTTTGTTGAGAAGACAGAAGAGGAAATCTGTAGCTTTGAGGTCTACAGTCTAAAGGTTAAATTTCTCAGGCAAGTGTGGATCCAACATCAAAAGGTGGAAGCAGGAAGGAAAGGATGGAGAAACGAGTTGTTGAGGGTGTACTTGAGTGTTGTATTTCATCCTAGTGTGGGCTTTGATTGACAGACTTAGTTTCCCAGTATCACTTTAGACAACCTGTATTGCTTTTGGCTGCCTCTGCAGAAGGACATAGGGCTTTTATAGGTGCTTTGTTATATTTACTGGCTTCATGTGAATGTCCCAGCTATCCTCGAGTGGCTTTGCTGCCTGTACCAGAGCCTAGTATTTAGAAGATTAAAAAAAAAAAAATAAATAAAATTCTGGTGAACTGATGTTTAGATTTTTAAAAAGTTCTGGTCATCTTAACTCATACAGTTAAGCACAAGGAATGTATGAAGGTGTTTGTAAGAAAGATGCAGTAAGTTGGTTTCTTTGACAAAATGATAGGAAAGTAGCAAGGTAGTAGAAGAATGAGCTGCACAGCAGAATATGTGTTATTAAAAGGTAAGAAATGTTGTATGTGTAGCTAAAATGAGAGGTTATTTAGCATCAGCATGTCTGATGCAAAAGGATCTGATAAGAATCGATTCTGCTAGGTCAAGTGGAAAATGATTAGAGATAAGCCAGAGCTGTCAGAACAGGAAGAAAGGGATTTTTTTAAGGTTTACAGAAGATGACAGGACTTGTTCATAGACTTAATAAAGACAGGGGAAGGGGAAAGAAAGAAATCAAACATGACCTCTAGTCTACAGGACCGATAAAATGGAGGATACTGGCATGCTGAAGGAAAGAGAAATGAAAGTATTCAGTGTTGTAAAGGAAAAGATTTAAACATACCATTTCTAAGGGAAAGAAAAACTTTAATGGCTCTCTGCTATAATTGAATGGTAAATCTCAAGCATGACAGGACCCTGTGCATACTTCATGTCTGCGGGAAGAGGTCCATCTGCTTCCATGTGTCTCATAATTTGCCTTCATATTGAAAGCTCTGCTTCCTGAGCATATACTCAATCTTAAATCTCATCAAAGTCTTACTTGGTCTTGGCTTACGTTCTTTCTGCTGGCATTCAGTTTGTTCTCATTTTTCAGATTCCTGAATGGAGGTTAATAGCATGATTGAGAATATTTGGTTTTGTCTGCTTGCCTGGGTGCACAACAATACTGAAGAACAAGACTGAAATGCAATTGGGGCACTTCGTTAGTAAGTTTCATCCCTTCTAGTACAGTGAATTGCAGGCATACTCCTTTTCCCTAGTGGTTAATTAGTAAACCAAGGCATGTGTGGAATTTATAGGAGAAAGAAAACAGAAAATAAAATCTAAACTAAGAATCACTGTGGAAAGAACAACTTGAGAATCTTTAATTGATTTCCTTCGAGTTACAGCAATTCTTTAAAAAAGGGTAGTTGAGAAATTCAGTCAATGCAGGGTTCAAGTTACAGGAAGAATTGTTTCACTAATTCCCAAGGATTTAAAAAATCCTTGGTTTTTCTGCCTGTGTGGAAAAGACAGGAATTGTTGCATCCAAAGGCAATGGACACTTATGTCCTCATGGAGAGGAACTGAATATTGCAAAGTGTGTTGTGTGATACCCAGGTTGTCTTGTAACAGAGTCTTGAGTCAGTTTGAATGATGAAGTGCAAATGTCATCAAAACAATTGCATGGATGACCCTTGCCTGAGTGAAGGGAAGTAGCTGAATATAACTACCCCAAAACTTCTAGGGTGCTGTTGCTTGGTATAAGTGTGTTCTTGTTTTTCTGTAAGTAGGAAACAAAGGCTGCAGATGGCAACAGTTAGCTAAAACCACAGGTAACATAATTTCATTTCTATTTAGTTTGTATGATCACCTCTTTCTTCTGTACATGTGCAAATAAATATATAAATATTTTTAATTTTGAGGTTAAAAATTTGAAGAGTTTATTTAACATATCTATATGGCGTTTTTCAAATCTGTAATACTGAACTCATCTTTAAGTACTTTTCTGCTGTAATTAAGAGTTTCTTTTTTTAATTCCATTTAATACATGAACATGGTCTGTTGGCTCTCTCTTATATGGGAGAGATAGAATAAAAAGAGCTTTTAAAAAATTAAGATAATCAGAGGTGGCCTTTTTCCTCTTTTTCTTCATATTTTCATGAAAAAGCAGGGTTTCTACTTGCTTTCTGGACCTCTTGGCTTCAATTTTTTTGTTTTTTTTTTTTTTTTTTGAGAGTTAGGTTCCCAGCTGCATTGAAATCTAATAGGATTTGAGAGTCTAATTATCTTAAGCTCTTTTGAAAGTCCAAATCTTTTCTTTTGAAAGGTGTTTTAATTCAGGAATAGACAAAGTTCATTATTCTTCATAGCAGCAACTCCTTTAAACCACATTGTTAAGCAGGTAAGCCAATAGAGTAAGGCTGTCAGATGCAAATACAGTATTAAAAACAGTGTTTGGAATTGCCATCACTAGAGGCATTAGGCAGACAAATGTCATAACAATGTATGGTAGCCAGCATACTCTGTGAAATACTTCAGGTTATTTGGTCCCTGTGAATGAGAGGAGTGTGATACATATAGAGGAAGCACTTTTAAACAGCAGGAGAATTGATTAATTCTCCCTCCCCCAGGTGTTTCGCTAATTTGTTTTGATTATTTTGCTGACATTTTTCTGGGAATTTAAGTTAGGGTGAGTGTCCTATGTTAAGTGCTTTTTTTCTTGCTTTTTAAGCTATGCAATTGGCATTACTGTGTTTATTGTTTCCTGACATGTTACTAAATTACTCACTGCTCATAGGTAATTTCAACTAGCTAAATAAGCTAAACATCATAACTATCTTGACTTGAAACCACAATATTTTAAAGTGCTTAAATCTTCCTCTTTCTGAAGTCTCTTAAGGCTGAAATATTACCTAAGACAACAGTATGTGCTCACTGTCTTTCGCTGCCTGTATTTGGCATTTTGGACCAACAAAAACTGTTTAGATTAAAAAGTGAAGGGTGAGAAGCAGCTAAATAGTATTAGTTTCAAGGAAACAGGTACCCCAAGGGTTTTGAACTTGTTCATACCAGTGAGCCAATTTTCTCTGCTAGGCTGAGAAATTGATAGTGTGCTACCTGGTGCTGTACTTAGAGCTTTGAAGGAGAGTTGCTTGGTTGGGAGTGTGGTCAGGAGAACGTTAGGTGAGAGACCAAAGAGACCAGAGAAGACCAAAAGTAGATTGTGTGTAAACTGAGACATTGGATATCCTGAACCTTCTCAAGTGTGTTCCCAGCGATGGGGAGGACATAGTAACTGTCAGGAAGTTAAGACTGGGAAAGATTTGAATGTCTCTGCTCAGACAGCCATCCCCCCTATGGTGTGTTTAATGAAATGTGTGAAAAAGAAAATGTAAAATACCTTTTCAAGGTCTATGCAACCACTATTACTTTCATTGTTAAACAGTTCAGAGAGGAAATACAGTATTTGGGACAGTTTGACTTCAGTGGGTTACTGTGATAAGGAACAGTCACCAGAAAAGCTCACAAAAACTGATGCTAGTTTGAGGTCAGGGCGGTCAAATTGCTGCCTTTGGTCTCCTGGGTATTTAAAAGCAAGATAAAATGATATTTTTCATTTCATGAGAATGTACCTCCATGCTGCAGACCAGTGCAGTGAACAGCTAGCTGGGGGTATGCGGATTGCCATGTAATTAACCAGTTGCAGTTACCTTGTGAACATTCCTCTGCGGAAATTAAGAGTATCTTCC